AGATGGTGAGGTCTCGCTGACCAATGTTCCCAACGGAATGGGAGGAACTAAGACTAAGACACAATGTGCTATCTGTGCTCTGCCCACCACGGGTATCAAAACCCGGTTTCTAGCATTGTAAGTCCGCAGACATACTGCTGTGTCACTGGGGGGCTCCTTCCTATGAAGTGCGCATTATCCACATCATTGTTGGATTATATCCTCAAGGTATCATCTGACCCACCAGTGGAAAATACCACTATATACCTTACAAAAATCTTTCCTATAATAAGGCACACGTTATAACCTTAAGTAAGTTGCCCAATTAAATAGGTAACTAGGGCAAAGAGAACTTGGTTACTCGAATAACCAGTCAACGTTCTGTTATAACTACATATACCAATATGCATAAGAAATTATGACAAATTTTCTGTCAAATAAGGAGGAGTATACAACGTGAATATGTTTGCATAGTAAATTTATAATAATATTAACAGGGGTATAATTAGTAAAGTTGGCTGATGGTAGTAGACTTTCAGCAATTCTAGCAGTGTAGATTTTAAGACTTGGATTAATTGGTAAGTTGGACAAATAGTTAAGTACAAGGTAATTCATTTGGGATTATCAAAATATATATTACATATTTAATATAGATAGGAATCGATTTAATAAAGAATGGTACTATGTATATGCTAGTAACGTTTTTCAAAATTATTGTGTATTTTTCAGAGTTTCCAGTTAGGATGCAGAGAGTTACTCAAGTACACTTTATTTTGAGAGCATACAAGATGCGAGTCCACTAACTAGCAATTAACTGACTTTCTTGCAGGGAAGATAGCACATTATGTTCAGAAATAGAAAGCTATCTTTCCTGTTGGTGAATCAGATGTAGGTCATCGATAGCCAAACCATAGAGCTTCATTCCCAGTGGACTCGAATATTGGCTTTATCATTGTATTTTGGTTATTGTGTAAAAAAACTGGGTTTACTCTTGTAAGACATGATTAGAGAAGATGATTCAATACAGTGGTGAAAGCAATGTATTTTTAGAGTATAAAAACTTCTTTTGTTTAAACTTTAAACCCTTTGTTTGATCTGGTGAAATTCGTAAGTGCGTCATTTAAAATGATTATTGTTTAACTTTATATTTTATGTTAATTATCCGAGCATTATTTTCGCTTGAATTTGAGAATAGTTAGTTTGAGCTTAACTATTAGTAAGTGGACGTAAAATTTAATTCACTTTTGAATATACTGTTTGCTTGTAGCTAATTTAGTTTTATTTAACTTGTTCATATTTTAGCACCTCCAGTGGCTCAATGGTAAGTCTGAGGGCTTATGAAACTAAAAATCAAGTTTTGATATCTGTGCTGGGCAGACCACAGATAGCCCATCGTGTAGCTATGTGCTTAACAAAAACTTATTTTAGATTGATAAGTAAGGGGGGGGCAGAAAAACACAATAAATGAAAAGTCTGGCATGAAGCGAGGAGCATCTTTAAGAAGGAGGATATCCAGCTACTGGGCCCAGACTCCAAACTGAGAGACCATTGGCTGTGGAAAGCCATAGCTTTTTTCGTTGGCAGATGACTGAACAGGCTCTCACTGATAAGGATGGTGATTAGTAGGTCAAGCAGAAGCCTTTCCAAGAAGAAAGGCACCCAGCTGTTTCAAAGACAAGGAGAGGGAGATACAATCAGCAAATGAGTTTTGTCAAGAGGAAGAGATCATGATTCATGGAGCAGCAGAGGCCTTCTCAAGGATGAAAGGCAAGCTACAAAGGCAGGCATAGATTGTGTAAAAACCCGGGATTTTTCAGGAAAGATTGATGGGGTGCATTAAGCACCTCCTGTGTTGGAAACTGAAAGGATTATAATTAATACTCACCAGAGCATAAGGGTTGTTTAAACCTGCCTACTTACTTGATGACTTCCCCATAAAAGTGGACTGTCCAAAATGAGGTAGACCATGGGTTCACCAGGGAAAGATCCATGCTGCAAACATGAAAACCTGTAGTGAAGGCAAGGCAGACCTCTAACCCTAGTGGGTGATTGAGAACACAGTCATGGGCTGGGCCATGCCATGAACTTGATTCAATCAAGTGGTTGGTGAAAAGATGCTTCAAGATCTTGCTGAGTTCAATAAGCTGGACGAGAAAGTCCTGAAGAGATGAATACTCCAGTATCCAGCTGAGATCCCAACAATGGCCTCATGATTGTTTGGTTGGGAAATACCACAAGTGTAGCTGAAAAAATGATCTTGGCATAGTGGTGGATAAGTCATTCCAGCCATCAAAGCATTGCTCTGTTACTAGTAGTAAAACTACTAGAATTTTAAGGTGTATTTATAGACATACAGATTACAAATTTTAAAATGGTATTTATCTCACTATACATATTACTAGTTAAGTTTGATGATGAGGAATCTTCTTTTGTTACCCATTCAAGCTATCTACAAGCTTTATATTAATAGTTTGACTTCAATTAGAATACCATGTACAGTTTTGGTCTCCTTGTCTAAAAAAGGATATACTTATTGAAAATGATTCATAGAAGGCCTACTAGAATGATTATGAGGATGGATCATCTTATTTTTTCTCGAGAAAAAGAAGGTTATAAAATGATCTTATTGAAGTTAACTAGATTGTTAGAAGGATCAAAATGAAAAATGCCTCAAGTAGCTTTATGTTATATTCTAAGTATGATAGGTGAAAAGACACAAATTTAATATTATCTTAATTTTCTATCAAGGTTGGTTGACTTATGGAATGAATTGCTGTTTGCATAAGTGGAAAACAACGCTTTAGAGAAGTTTGACAGGAGATTTGATAATTTCCTGAATAACAGAAATTGGATTTTAATTTTTACTTCTTTCATGGGTGGATGTGTAAAGATAGCCTTGAAGGACCAAATGTTCTATTGTCGTCTATATGTTATGTTTCAGAATTATCTCAATCAATTTTAAACTGTTCAATAAAACATATTTTGTTGTTCTTTGTATAACATAAGTGAGTGTAGAAATAGGTATTTTTATTAAATACAGAATAATTTTGGAGCCTCACAATCTTGTTACAGTCCATGTCACAACTTCTAGTCATGCTCTATCTGACAACCATGCATTTTATCAATGGCCCTGAAACATAGTTTACATCGTAAAAAGGCTACATCATAAGAATGTCACATTCAAAACACACAACTCCTACTTGCTGGTTTTAACAATCTAACTAGTGTGAAAGGACAATGTTTTCCCAGTTCCAATTTCAAGTCTGATTGCACAGAAATTCATAGGTGCTGGTCCAGCTACTTAACTGGTATGTCTTTGTATGGAATATTTGTTTCATTTTCCAGCTACTTGAGGTATGCAGTGGTTGAACAAATATGTCACGAAAGCAGCTTGTGTACAACTAACTTGTGTCATTCTTCCAAATCTAGATCCTTCTTGATTATGGATGGCTTTAGTCATTGACCTTTGTGTTTATTGATTCTCACCTGTTATAACATGCCACAATTTGCTAGCCAAAGCTGGAATATAACTTGTTCCAGGCCTCTTTCTGGATGTTCATGGTACCCAAGTTTATCTTTTGTTTTCCAATGCCACTAAGTACAAGGGATATCTCAGTCTTTTAAATTCTAAATCCCCAATCTGAACACATCTTTACGATTGATCTGATTGTATGAATATTTTAAATCAGAAAGGCTGCTACGTACCCTTTAAAGAGTCACCAATTTTTAGTGGCATCACGCTAACTGCAAAATTCCAAACAATGTCCAAATGTAGTTCTGATACATTTCATTCAAACATGACTTTATATCAGCTATTTTGCACGTGACTAATTTGATTTCAAAATCATTTTATAAAATCATATTCAACTCTCTGTACATAGATTGATATAAAAATACAAATGAAAGATGTACGAAATATGACTTATTTTAACCAAAACAAAAGAATAATTTTGAATAAAAGGTGATTAAGCTTTCTTCTTTTAATGCTTTATCATTATTTGATTATGGCATGCAACTGTTTTGTGTCATAGCTGGAACAGATATGAATTTCCCAGTTCCATGACTAACATAAAATATATCTTTTATTTAGATATATTCAGGTAATTTTTCTAAATGCTTGTTAACTGGATATAGAAAGGCCATAAAAACATGCTAATCCTTTTACTTAGGCAAATGGTGTAAAAGCTTGTTCATGATGTCAG